TGGCCCTGTGGCTCAAGTGGTAGAGCGCTAGCCTTGAGCTGAAGAGTTGAGGGACAGCGCCCAGGCCCAGAGTTCAGGCCCCACGACTGGATCACAAAAAAAAAAAAAAAAAAGAGACTTTATCTCCAATAAACTACCAAAAAGTCAGAAGTGGAACTATGGTTCAAGTAGTAGAGTTACTAGCCTTGAGGAAAAGAGCTCGAATGACTTCAAGCCCCAGGAACCACACAAAAACAACAAAAAGAACAGTGCTCCTCAGAGGAAATGCAGCTCTCCTGATACTCACTTAGCCCTGCCCATGAGCAGGGGCAGGGGCCTGCTTGTGTGTGTGCCCACTGGCCAACACAGCCCCTAGCAGATGCCTCTCCCCCGGCCTCTTTCCCGATCACCTGCCCAGTGTGCTCCTCCCCACAGCGAGACCCTGCCAGTGGAGCACCTGGGTGGAAAGCCTCTGTGCATGAACCAGTACTACCAGATCCTGTCCTCCTGCCGCGTGCCGGGTCCCAAGCAGGACTCCATCTTCAACTTCATCAAGAGCAAGAAGCCACCCTCCCACATCACAGTGGTGCATAACTATCAGGTGGGGGCCCGGGAGGGGCCCAGGAGAGGGATCCAGGACCACCTCCCTCTTTTTCCCCCAGCCTGACTCCGTCCCCTCCACACTTGGGGAGGTTTTGGAGGCTAGTGGGCCACCGTGGGTGCGGCCACCCTGAGCCAGCCCCTTTTTCTCCCCTGCCTGTGGCCGGCAGTTCTTTGAGTTGGACGTGTACCACAGCGATGGGACGCCCCTCACCTCCGATCAGATCTTCGTGCAGCTGGAGAAGATCTGGAACTCGTCACTGCAGACCAACAAGGAGCCTGTGGGCATCCTCACCTCCAACCACCGCAACACCTGGGCCAAGGCCTACAATAACCTCATCAAAGGTGCCTGCCACCTGTGCAGGCCTCGTGGCGTGCCAGGCCGGGACCCAGGACGAGGCTGGCGCAGCCATGTGTGGGTCTGCAGCCTCTCAACTCTGTATCGGGGATAGGGACATAGAAGCTCAGTTTGGTCAGGGTGGTGAGTCTTCTCTCTCTGAGGAGCGCACCTCCATCTATGCCTCCTCTCCCGCCTAGCTCCCCGAGTCACAGCCTAGGCTGTGAGATCTTTGCCAGCCACACCAGCTCCTTGGGACCCTGCATTTCCCCTTCTCCCTCAGGCATGTGGGGTGGGGCACAGGGCGGTGCAGGACCCTGGGGATGGCAGAGGGACTGCAAATGTGCACCCAGCACTCAGGAAATACCATGGAAGCCCCAGAGGCAGGGGACCACCTCTCCCAGAAGGGGACAAACAGGGCAGAAGAGCCCAGGTCCTCAGGGACTCACCCTACCTCACACCGCTCCACCCCTCCCTCCCACCCCCAGACAAGGTGAACCGAGAGTCGGTGCACTCCATCCAGAAAAGCATCTTTACTGTGTGTCTGGACAAGCCGGTGCCCAGGGTCTCGGAGGACATCTACCGCAACCATGTGGCCGGCCAGATGCTGCACGGGGGCGGCAGCAAACTCAACAGCGGCAACCGCTGGTTCGACAAGACGCTACAGGCAAGTGAGGGCCTGGCAGGGCCTCCTACCCCCAAAGGCACATACCTGAGCTTGGGGCCCAGAACCAGCACTTCCAGCCCCTCCTTGGCCTGGCCTCCCTCGCCTCCCACTGGTAACGCTGAAGGGAAGCCACAAGCTGGATGCCATGGTAATTACCGTGCAGTGGCCTGTCATTATGGGGTCTGTATACCAATGGCTGCTGAGTGCAGACCTGCTGGGGTGACCTGCACCTGTAACTCAGGACTCATGGCCAGGGCAAGCCTGGGGACCCGCTGAGGTCCGCACAGCCCCCAGATGGCTTCAGGGCCTTCCCGTGACACTGACCAGAGAGTGGCTGGCTCAGGGGCCACCATCCAGGTGCCTGGGGCTGACAGTGTCCCCTTTTGTCCACAGTTCATCGTGGCAGAAGATGGCTCGTGTGGGCTCGTGTACGAGCACGCAGCCGCGGAGGGCCCCCCCATCGTCACCCTGTTAGATCACGTCATTGAGTACACGTGAGTGTGGCTACAGCGTTGTCCCCCAGAGCCTGGAGGAGACAGGCAGGTGACAAATGTGGCTTGTGGCGTGTCACTCCCTTTGTTACCTAGAAGTTGATTTTTCTCCAGGAAGCTGCAGCGGACACACTTTCTAGAGTCTGTCAGGACAGCATTGAATTCCTGGCCTTGGGACCATGGACAAGTCCCCTGTCCCCTGCCTGGGGCCTGATCCCAGACCTTCTCCACTCGGCAATTTCAAAAGAGCCCACCCAAGAGGCCCTGCCAGCTTGGCTTTTCCCCACCCTCCCCCCCGGACAGATCCAGGCTCTGGTGGCACGGGTGTGAGCTTGAGCTCCCAGGTCCATTTCCTGCAGGAAGAAGCCGGAGCTCGTGCGGGCCCCCATGGTGCCCCTGCCCATGCCCAAGAAACTGCGGTTCAACATCACTCCCGAGATTAAGAACGACATCGAGAAGGCCAAGCAGAACCTTGGCATGTAAGGCCCTGCAGTGAGCCCAGCCTTGCCCAGAGATGGCGTCCCTGGGGTTGGCAACGAGCCACTGGCGCTGCCTTCTCCCCTCCCATTCCACTCCACATCCTCTCCCAGCATGATCCAGGACCTGGACATCACCATGATGGTGTTCCACCACTTTGGGAAGGACTTCCCCAAGTCGCAGAAGATGAGTCCCGACGCCTTCATCCAGATGGCCCTACAGCTGGCCTACTACAGGTGTGCCCCACCCCCAGGAGGAGGGGCAGCCCCTGGGGTCAGAGGGGTGTGCACTCAGCCCCGTCTCCCACGCAGGATCTACCGGCAGGCGTGTGCCACGTACGAGAGCGCCTCCCTGCGCATGTTCCACCTGGGCCGCACCGACACCATCCGCTCGGCCTCCACAGACTCGCTGGCCTTTGTCAAGGCCATGGATGACGGCAGCGTGGCAGTGAGCAGTCTGGGGCAAGGGTGGGAACCCCGGGCTTGAATCATCTCCCTTCCTGCTCATTGTCAACACACCTTGATTAGCATCCACGGTATTCCCATCGGGGGGGTGGGTGATAATCTAACAGATTAGGCCATGAATTTACTTCTGTGCTTCCTGGCAGCCAAAGAGAAAAGGAAGCCATTTGTCCTTTCATTATTGACTGTCAGCGAGCACCCACTCTCTTTTGGGCTCTGACTGGGGGCTGAGAGATGGAGGTCCCAATACTTGGCTCTGAAGGAGCTGGGACCCTAGAGCTGGGTGGGGAGAGGGCACTGAGGTCGGAAAGGAGCAGGGCAGAGATGGTATTGCAGCCTCCTCTGATCCTTACCCCCTTCCAGGAGCAGCAGAAAGTGGAGCTACTGCGGAAGGCCGTGCAGGCCCACCGAGCCTACACCGACCTAGTGAGTGAGTCCTGTAGCCATGTCTCATTGAAGAGGCATGGCCACATTTTAAAGTGAAAAGCCAAGGCTGGGCCCAGTAACTCCCTGGGTCCCTAGTCCCTTATAGCACAGGCCCCTGCGCCTCGAGCCATGTTCTTTCCCGGATGCTGAGGGTGACCACTGCCAGGGAGGTCCAGCTGCTCCAGCTGTGGCCAGGGAGGCAGTGATTGTGTGCCTGTCCCGGCTCTGGCTGGGTGCAGATGGTACCCAGTCCCATGCAGACATCTAGATTTCACTGCCACCATGCCACAGCTGAAGTCCCTGAGGCTTCAGTGTCAGGAACTGCCACAGGGCCCCAGCCAGGACAGCCACACCCAGCTCCAGAGCCCACCTTCTCTGTCCCGCTTCCCAGAACAGTTCTCTGCTTTTCCCTGATCTTAGTTTCCCCATCTGGAAGTCAGGAGCTCTTCTGCCTGGCCTCTAGTCCTGATGGACCAGTGGCTGGACGGGGCCGGGCTGCCACAGGAGTCAGGTGGCAGGATGCCTAGTAGGTCCTTAGCACCTGCTTCTGACACTCCTCTGCCCCCTGCAGGCCATCCGTGGGGAGGCCTTTGACCGGCACCTGCTGGGCCTGAAGCTGCAGGCCATCGAGGACCTAGTGAGCATGCCTGATATCTTCATGGACACCTCATATGCGATCGCCATGCACTTCAACCTCTCCACCAGCCAGGTAGGCCGCAGTCCCAGCCACCCTAGTGCAGGGAGCAGAAGAGAATCTGCTGACAGCTGGACTTTGGGGGAGGGGGGGAAATGGCCCACTGCCAAGGCAGTTTGAGTCCCAAAGAGCTAGGTGCAGCCCAGACAGGCTGAGAAGGCCTCAGAACCCCACAAAAGAACCCACTTAAGTCATTTGCTGGTCAGTTGTAGAGAAACACCTGATCAGCCTGTGCCAGGTGCTAGGGTACAGCCAGGGAAAGGCCGTGGGGCAGCAGTGCCCCCTGGGAAGTTCAGAAATCAGAGGAATGGTGGAAGGGAGAGCTCAGGTCTCTCAGGAGATTGAGGAAGACTCCACAGAAGAGGTGACCACAGGGCTGAAAGATGAAGGAGCTGCTCTTGTGGAGAAGAGGAAGGGCAGCGTGGCAGGAGCAGTAGGCCTTGGGCTGAGCGCTTTGATCCTACTGTGTCCAGGTCCCCGCCAAGACAGACTGTGTCATGTTCTTTGGGCCTGTGGTCCCAGATGGCTATGGCGTCTGCTATAACCCCATGGAGACCCACATCAACTTCTCCGTGTCAGCCTACAACAGCTGTGCTGAGACCAACGCTGCCCGTATGGCCCACTACTTGGAGAAGGCTCTCCTGGACATGCGGGTGCTGCTGCAGAGCCACCCTCGGGCCAAGCTCTGAGCCCAGGGGCCAGCTTGCCAGCGCCACAGCCAAGCCCTCCCGGGGAAGGGCACCTGCCAGGGCTCCGCTCCTTTGCTCTGGTGTCCCCGATCCCTGATCTGAGCCAGGGACAGCATTGGTAGTGGAGCTGCAGGCCCAAGCCCTGTACCTTTTGTGGGCTGTCCTGGGGGCCTGCTGAGACCCAAACAGCTGGGGCTGAGTAGAGAGCCTGAGTCCCCAGCATGCCATCCATGGAGGCCTCCCTGAGGAAGGGATCAGGCCATGCACAAACCATGGCTAGGGAAGTCGAAAAGCTTCCTTTTCTCCCCAGCTCAGCTCTGGCCCAAGCCTGTCGTCTCCAGGGCCAGGCTCCATCATCCTGGAGACAGAGGAGTAGCTCTGAGCCTCCTTGAGGCTGAGGGACTAGGGGCGGGGCCTCCAGATGGAGGGAGACCCCCAGGTCTTGCTTGGCCCTCCCACCTGGAGGCATCGCCCCGTGTGCTGCCATTCTCTTTTGGATAATGTATGTGACTCCTGGGCCTCAGCCCTGTTGCTTCCAACTCAGCTTGATTCCTGAACCACAGTCGTGGTTGCCTCATGTGGACATGCCGGAGAATCCATAAATAAAGGGGAATGGGCTAAGGAGGTGTTTCGGCTAGGGGGCAGGGGTGTGGGCGCTGGGCCATTGGACCACAGGGTTCCCGGGGGAAGCCAAAAGGAGCCGCAGGCCAGCTCCGCATTTGCGCACTGGGCCAAGGATGGTGCCAGGTCCAGGGCTGCGTTCCTCACCTATCCTGGCTTGGGCCTTCCAGGGTCCCCTGAGCTGGGAGCTGGCAGTGTGGCCAGGACCCCAAGAACTGACCCAACTGTTCCCATGGAACCTAACGAGTTAGAAAGGGCAGGTGCATTCACCCCAAGGGCAAACACCTGTTCCAGATGGGCCAGGGACCAACCCCTGGCTCATGGCCAGGTAGAGGCCACAGGCCTTTACAAAGTCACTGGGGCACACTCGAAACCCAAGAGCAAGTCCCCGGGGCGGAAGGTTGGTGGCCTGTGAGCCCAGTACTTGCATGCCTGACCTGCAGCCCTCCCCGCAGGCAAGGCCTCTGGCTTGCCCATCTGAAGATGGACCAGTTTACAGGTGGAGGTTGCTAGAACACTAAGTGACCGCAGTGGGTGGACTTGTCCTGGGAGCCCCAGGCCCACCCCACATCTGCCCGGTCGTCCCAGCTACCCCAGGCCAGTGGGTGGAGGACTCAGGTTCAAGCTGGCAAAAGAGGTATGGATAGGACTGATCCAATGAGGCCATCGCAGGTCCCTTCTGGCAAAATCTCCCCAGGGCAAGGTGGAGGTGGAGCCTGCCTGCCACAGTCTCCTGATGAGATTCGAGAAGGCTCTGTTGTAACTGGCATGGCTCACGCCTGTCATCCTAGCTGCACAGGAGGCTGAGATCTGAGGATTGCAGTTCAAAGCCAGCCTGGGGAGGAAGTGAGACTCTTAGGTCCAATGAAGTACCTAAAAGTCAGAAGTAGAGGTGTGGTGGCTCAAGTGGTAGAGTGGCAGCCTTGAGTGGAAAAAGCTAAAGGACAAGCGTCCAGGCCAAGTTCAATGCCTAGCAGCAGTACACACACACAACCAGTTTGACAACGAACTGAATCCTCCTCAGGTCACTACCAGTCTGAAGTGGCCTTAGTTGGAGATCAAGGTTCTGAGGCCTCTGAGCCTGCCCATGAGGACAAGGTTGCTTTACCCGTGCTCACTGCGGACAGCCTACTATGGGGATCAGCTCCCGTGCTGGAGCCAGCTGTTGGTATGACCTACATGTACCTCAGTTCTACAAGACCTCTACCAGCCCAGCTCGATGTGCCAAAGCAAGACAGTCCCCACCCACACCAGAAGTACTGACTTAACAAAGAACGTGAGCCATTAGGAAGGGTGCAGTTCTGGGGCCTCCCATGCTAGGGGTTGGGCCTGGCCCAGCCTGCGCCACACAGGGTCACTAAGACCCAGGACGAGTTCTGTGGCTGAGAGCTGGGCGGTGGGCTGAGTGGGCACTGGTGGGAAATGTCACAGGCCATTCATGCTCCTGCCTCCGGGTCTGGAGGGACCTGCTGCTTCTGGTTTCCTGGTCCTAAGTGTGTCCTTTCCTAAGGGTCATGTCCCCCAGGCGTCCCAGCCTCTGTTCATGAGCCCAAGCCACCAGAGTTTAAGATTTTATTTGAAAACAATAGTAAACAATTTCATTTAATTTCCTTAAATCAAACCACCGCACACTTGGCTCGTCGGTCAGTCGGTCGGCGGGGAGGGAGGGAGGGAGGGATGCGGCGGCGCCCCACCTCCGGAGCCAGCCCGGCCCTGCCTGTCTGCCATGGCTTCGGACACAGCCTTTACCAAATGAGCGAGTAAAGCACCACGACATTGTGCTTCAGCAGCAGATTGCGGACCTCCCGAAAGAGAGAGGGGTCTGCTTCACTTCTGGAAACTTCCAGGAGGCTGGAAGCATCTCCAACGAGTGGGGCAGAGCGACTAGAGACAGACGGTCCCCTAGGAAGAGCCCTTCCCCAGGCTGGGCAGGGGGCTCCAGCCGATGGGGCGGCCAGGAAAGACGGGGGCACGGACACGGCACACGGGAGGGGGAGCCCCAACTCCGGGTTCCTTTGCGATTTGTTCGAGGAGGGATGATGACAGCTGCTACTGGATGGCCAGACAAAAGGAGCTGTAAACCCTCGGGTGCGGTGCACCCACATGTGCAGGCTCTTTTGTCACAAGGGGACACGGGGACAGGGAGCAGAGAAAGCCCTTGTGGTGTCAGGAGGATGACCCGGGGTGGAGTGGTGACAGCAGCCGCCAGGCGCGTGCGTGCTCGCTGGGCCTACCCCATACGGGAAACACTGGCGAGGTTCTGGAATGGCAACGGTAGCAGGGAGGGCACGAGTGCTTCGCTTCTCCTGGCCCGGCCTGGGCAAGGGGCTGCAAGCTGACCGGACCCCTCTGCAGGGCAAGCTCTTCCAGCCCCTTCCCCCAAATCGCACCTGCCTTTGAACAAACCCCAAAATAAATAGCGTGCACTTTTCACCTGGAATTCCTGGCTGGAGACCAGAGGCACAGCCCCCATCCACTACCCCACATCTGGTGCCCAGGCCAAGGGCACTTTCTGCCCAGCTAGAGGCTGGCAGCAGCACAGCGGGGTCTCTGACCACGTGGCTCCCAGGCAGCAGGCCCTCCAGGGTCCTGGTGGAGGGACTGGCTCGGCCCTTTGGTCCACCTTGTCCATTAAAATTAAAATAACGAAAAAGAACAAAAAGGCTCCACTTGGTGACTTGGGTCAGGTGAGGTCTCTGTTCCTCCATCTGTCATCCTGCCCACCCTGCGGGCGCCATGCGGGCCACACAGGCCCACCAGTCACTGCAGCTTCGTCCCCAGCTTGCGCTGTCTGTTCCTGTAAAATGGGGTGGGGTCAGTGTGGAGACACTGGTGTCCAGGGGCCTGGCCCTGGGCCTGCTGCTCCCCGTCACAGTACCCAGGAAATGGTGGCAGTGGTGAGTGGTGTGAGCCAGCGGGCCCGGGAGCTGGAGAGGGCCAGCCCATGGCTACTCTCCATCACCATCCCAACCTCCCAACTTGGAAGCCCAGAAAAAGAACCAGGAGACAGGGCGGGATAAGGGAGGCGAGAAGCTGCTGGCCGGGTCTGTACAGACAAACCAACCAAGGGGGCGCCCGTGTCAGCACGGAAACAGAGCGCCCTCCCTCCATGCATGGCAGGTGTGGAGCAGGAGGCCGGGCAGGGGCACAGTGCCCCTGGCTTAAAGGGTTCTCATATCCACAACGGGCTCAGCAACCTGAGGGAAGCAGGCCTCATCACCCTATTTTTTTTAATGTATTTATTAGTTTTAGTACTGGGTTTGACTTGGGGCCTTGATGCTGTCCCTTAGCTCTTTCACTCAAGGCTGGTGCTCTGCCACTTGAGTCACCCAGCTCCATTTCTGGCTTTCGTTGGCTCACTGGAGATAAGACTCTCGTGGACTTTCCAGCCTGAGCTGGCTTTGAACCATCCTCAGATCCCAGCCTGATAAGTAGCTAGGATTACAGGTGTGAGCCACTGGCACTGGCTGTTGTTTTTGTGTGGGTGTGTTGTTTGTTTGTTTGCCAGTCCTGGGGGCTTGAACTATGGGCCTGGGTGCTGTCCTTGAGCTTTTGTGCTCAAAGCTAGCACTCTACTGCTTGAGCCACAGTTCCACTTTTGGCTTTTTGTGGTTAATTGGAGATGAGCCTTGTGGACTTTTCTGCCTGGGATGACTTCAAACTATGGATCTCCGGATCTCAGCCTCCTAAGTAGCTATGAGCTACCAGAGCCCAGCACTCCTAGTCCTTTTGTTTAAGTTTGTTCAGACTACTACCTCCTTCCGCTGCTTCCTGACTAGCTAGGTATATAACCACTATATACCTGGCCCATTATCCCTCTTTTCTAGAGGTATTGACCAAGGCTCAGAAAGGAAAATAGGGCCTGTCTAGGGTCCTCATTAAAATCTAGAAACCTAACTATGGCCCAGAAGGCCTTGAGCTACATGGCCCCAGCCATTGGCCTACTGAGGTCATTTCCTCTGCCAGGAGCCCTCCCTGCCAGCCTCACCCATCAGCCCTGTCTGCTCTGTCCCATCACTCCAAGGAGAATGGACCCCTGTCACTAGCTGGCAAGCCTCTGAACTTCGCTCCTGACCTGCCTGACACAGAGCCAGCCTTGGCTCCTCACAGTCCCCTGGCTGCCACACCACAACAGAGCAGAGCAGGAGAGAGAGAGAGAGAAAGAGAGGGAGAGAGAGAGAGAGAGAGTGTGTGTGTGTGATCCAGCCAGCAGAGAGAGAGGGGTGTGCGTGTTGTGTGTGTGTGTGTGCCAGCCAGCAGTGTGTGTGTGTGTGTGTCTAGGTAAACAAAGGCAGGTGGCATCCAGCCAGGCAGGCCAGTCTGGGGGAGAGCTGGGCCAGCTGGGGTTTCCTCCTCTAATGAGATTGCCCTGCCCTAACCCTCAAATCCCCTTTCCTCGTGGATCCCGGCTTTGCCCTTAAGCTGGTTAGGGTAATTTGGACCTTGAGGTACTCACACATTCCCTAGGTGCCAGGCCCACCCTGCCCTAGGCCTCCTCTGGAGCCTGACCTGTCTCATTGCCCCTCTGAAGCCCTGGGGAGGAGGAGCGGCCCTCCTCAGCCTGACAGGCAGCCCATCCAGAAGCTACGGTGAGTTGAGTCAGGAGACGGCACAGCCCAGCTGTGCCTTGACTTGCTATGCAAGTGCAGGCTGGTCTCCAATAACCAGCTCCTGGGAAGTGCCAGGCGCAGCAGCCCCCGGGGAGGGCCCTGTCCGGGTCCTGGGCTGTGGAGGTTCAGTGTGCTCAGCCCCCCGCTCGACCCCCCCCCCCACTACCTGAAAGCGCTCGGGTGAGGACTTCCCTCCTGTCTCAGTTTACTCATCTGTAAAATGGGGCCCAGGAGAACTCAATGAGGCAATACCGGAAAAGCCAGTGGGGACCATGGCGACCGCTGTCCCTTCAACTCACCTGGCTTCTGCCCGGGTCACTGTATACTCAAACCAGAGGACATTGGGAATGAGGCTCGTGTCCCGGATGAGGAAGAACTCAGAGATAGGCCTGGAGAATAGACACCAGAAAGCCCTGAGCCTGCCACCAGGGCAGATGCCTGCCAGTTCCCAAGGCCCACACCACACTCGCCCCCATGGCCTGGCCTGGGACCCCAGAACCACTGAGAAACCCAGGTGTGTCACTGTGTCACCTCAGGTGGGGACACCACCCACAGCCCAGCAGGACTGTGGCTGCCTTGTAAGTCCCTGAGAATCTAGGCAACAGCAAAGGTTGGCACTCTGGCTTCTGGGCTTGGGGAGACCTGAGTCCCTGCAGCAAACCCCTTGGGGAGGTAGAAGCCAGGCAGGTGGGGCCTGCAGCCTTGTGCCACCACAGGGCCCTTCTGCCACCACTGTGCCCGCAGGAACGAGCAGGCCCCAGTGCCGTGAGGGTGGGATGGCCAGGAGCCGGTTACCAGGCTGCTATCCTGGGGAACAGCGGGGTGAGGACCTCCTGGGTGAAGACAAACCAGGCGATGGCCATGAGGCTTCCAGCGATGCCCCCGTAGAGCACCTGGCTCCAGGTGTGGTACAGCAGGTAGACCCTGGGCCAAGGCCAGAAGGGAAGTTGATGAGAGCCAGCCAGCCACGGGCCCGCACACTCCCCATGTCCGAGCGCCAGCTCCCCAGGGACCTGTGTGTACACGGGTGGAGCCACGTGCCCACGGGACAGGCTCCCAGAACACAGCCTCCACTCCATCTCTAGCAGGACACAGGATGTTGCACCCCAATAATGGCTCCAATGGCTCCCCACCTCTAGATGTGCTAGCTTGACTGGGAGCTGCCTCTCTCCTGTCCAGCCTTTGATCTCTGACTTTGTCTTCCAGGGGCTCCTCTAGGAAGCTGGGCACAAATGGCCAATCCACAGAGCTGTCTCCAGAATCTCAGGCTCCCTGAATGAGCTAGAAGGGGGCAACTAAAGCCCTGCCCCTTCAAACTGGAGGCCTCAGGTCCTTTACCAGCCCTGCCCCACAGGCTCTGGGACCAGGGTTCGGTGGGGTCCAAGGCCCAAGAGCGCAGCAGGGCACTTGTGGGTGAGGCCGGCTCCTGCTCCCTCCGTACCTGCTGTAGGAGACTAGAAAGGCCGCAGTGAGGAGCCCCAGGGAGAGCACATGCCTCCACAGCAAGTCCAGGAACCTGGCGTTATTCGTTTGGTGCATTCTGGGAAAACAGGCCCATCAGACAGCCTTAGACCTCAGCCTGGGGTCCAGGCCCCTTCTGATTCAGTGCAGCTCCTCCCAGCCCCGAGGGCTGTCCCCAGGTGTAAGCGGAGTCCCCAGCAGAGCCCAGCCTGGGTCACCACGGGGGAGGTCCAAGCTTACCTTAAATACAGGAAAAGGAAGGAATAGACGGAGAAGAACCACATAAACTGGGAATGGCTGGAGGGCATCCCGTACTTGGTGCCCACTGCTGAGTGGGGGGCTGAGAGAGAGAAGAGACCAGAGCATCACCTGAGGACAGGGACCTCCCAGCCAGGCCCCGACCTGGGGGACCCCAGGCCCTACCTCCACAGGGCCGAGGCTCCTGGATGACGTTCTTGATCAGCCAGTTGACCCCTTCGTTCACTGCCAGGCCCCCAAGGAATGAGATCTGCCAGGGAAACGCATGCAGTCAGCTGGGCCTTTTGTGTATCAGTGATCGGAGCCTCACACTGGACCTCCCAGGCCAGCCAGGGATCCACACAGACAGAGGGAGGCAGAGACAGGAAGAAGGCAAAGCAGATGGGCTTGGCAGGGTGGGGGCACTGCGGAGTGGCAGAGGGAGTTGGGGGGTGGGGAGAGACAGACTCACTGTGTGCAGCTCCCGCTTGAATATGATGAGGGTCACAAAGCCAGTGATGACAAAAACAGGGCTGAGGCTCAGGTATGCAAGGAGGTATCCAGAGAGATCTCCTACGTGGGGGAAGGAAGAGCACTGAGCGCAGGCATCAGAGGGGCCAGCCCCTGCAGGTCACGTGGGGCCTAGACCGAAGAGGAGGCCCCCACAGAGCTAGAACCAGAGTCATGGGTGCCCAGTGACCAGATGAGCCATTAATATCATGGGAAGCTCATATACCGTGAGCTCCGAGCAGGTGCCTCTAATACGTCCCCGTTGTAGGAGGAAGGAACTGAGTCCCAGCAGGAGTCTGTGACTTGCTCAAAGTCAGAGCCAGGAAGAGGTGGAAATCCAGGTCTTTGGCCTGGTCCCACTATACCCATCCGGACCCCACAGGCTGTGACACCAGAGGCAGGCCGGGACTGCACAGAGGGCCTCGGGGGACCACAGTGCCACCCCAGGACTGCCCTGCTGAACCCTGGCACTCTGGAGAAGTCTGCCACTCTCTGGACATCACCCAGGTTTGGTCCACATCAAAGACTCTGATCGGGCCAAGTCCCACAGGCTGGCACGAGCCTGTGACATGGTCTCTGCACCGAGGACACAGTCTCTGCCGGGACCCACGCAGGTGCCGGCGCGTGAGATGGCCCGCACTACCAGCCTGGCCTCACGCCAGCAACAGGGAGGTGTGCACAGAGGGCTGGGCACAGACTCTGGGCCTGCAGAGATGCTGTACCCACCTGGCCTTACCCAGCCTGCTACCCAGAGGGGGGCTCACTCAGCATTGGCCTTAGAGAAAAGGGTTCAATTACTGGGGCTGCCACCGTACCAACAGGTAACAGATCTTTCCTGTTTTTGGAGACAGGGTCTTAATATGTGAGCCAGGCTGGCCTTGAACTTGTGCACCTCCAGCCTCAGTCTCCCCAACGTGAGAGTACAGGACTGCGCCACCACGCCTGACTAGTCCTAGCTCTTTCCCTTTTCTGAACATCTGTCTCCCCATCCGCCTCCTTCCAGCCCTGATGACTGCAGGCCAGGCGGTGCCAGTGCCCCCCCGCTTTGTCCCCTCAGCAGGTGACAGCACATTGGCCACCCTGTAGCTGATGCCAAGACTCTGGCCTCGCCACTCCCCACGCCGTCTGTGGCTCCCACCGCCCCTGGGCTGCGTGTCCTTCAGGCCCGCTCACAGGCGCTGAGCTGCCCGGCCTGGCCTGCTTCCCTAACACGCTCTGCGCCAGTTCCAAGCCTGGAGCTCTCAGCTCCCTGGACACCCTGTACTCTGTCCTACTTCTGGGCCTTTGCACACACTGCTTCCCCACCTGGGATGCTGCTGGGGTGAGGGCAGCAAATACAAACTGGGTAAAGTACCCCCGACAGTGGCAATGGGAAAGTCTGACTGGGACACAGCTCTCTCAGTCTGCGACTTGGTGCAGCCCCAGGCCGTCTGTCTCTCGCTCTACACTGAAGTTTGCAGGAGCAGGGCAGCCACCTCTCCCTACACTCCACCCCAGCATAGCTCCTCACACTTGTCCAGGTACAAACACTAGGTTAAAGCATGCATAAGGGAAGCAAGTTCAATGTGATCGGGGTATGAGAAGCGCAGGGGTCTCAGACACATTTCCAGGGGACTGGCCAAATGCCCCTCATCATGGCCTGCACGTACCATGTTGCTCGCAGCTGCCAATTTCCTTCTTGCAAAGTTTCCAGCCCTGCAAGAAGCTTTTCTAAAGCCAAGGAGGGAAGATGCTGAGGCCTTAGCCAAGTCTCTCCTCCACTCCCCCCCCTTTTTTTTTGTCGGTTTGGGGCCTGAACTCTGGGCCTGGGCGCTGTCCCTCAGCTCTTCAGCTCAAGGCTAGTGTTCTACCACTTGAGCCACAGCGCCACTTCTGGTTTTTATTTGTTGCTTATGTGGTGCTAAGGAAATTGAACCCAGGGCCTCATGCATGCAAGGCAAGCGCTCTACCACTGAGCCACCTTCCCAGCCCCCACCCCTTTGTTTTGGTGCCAACATGAACTCAGGGCGTAGGTGTTCTCCCTTAGCTTTTTCCACTCAAGGCTGACACTCTACTACTTGAGCCACAGCTTCTGGGGGGTTTTTGGTGGTTCACTGTATGGATTTTCCTGTTTGGGCTGGCTTTGAATCACAATTCTAAGGTATCAACCTCCTGAGTAGCTACGATTACAGGTGTGAGCCATCCTCTCTTCCAGCATTGGTTTTCCCCCTATAAAGCATTTTCCATAGAACAGCAGTACAGGAACCCACAAGGCCTGTTCACCATTCTAAAACCCTGAGCAGACGCAGGGCCTAGCTTGGAATGTGCTTAATGGGTCCTGGCTGAATGAATGAAGGAATGGCAGGCAGGCAGGCAGACAAGTGGGTAGGGCCCAGAACTTGGCAGGACTGCCCCACCCCAGCGTAACCCAGAACACCCAAAGTCAAAGTTCTCTGGCATGCAGCCCTGGAGCCCTCAGCAGGGCCTCACTTCCCTGTCTCTGACCAAGGCAGCAATGAGAGCATCTCAGGAGTCACCAAGGGTCCCAAACATCCTACCCAGAAGGGTCCTGGGAAGGTGGGCAACGTTAACTCCAGTAATTTTTGTTTGGTGCCGGTACTACATGCTGTCCCTTAGCTTTTTAGCCCAAGACTGGGGCTCTATACTACTTGAACCACAGACCCACTTACATCTCTCTTTTAATTATTTTTCTTTTCAGTGGTTCATTGGAAATGTGTCTCACGGACGTTCCTGTGCCGGCTGGCTTTTGCAATGGCAGTCCGCAGATCTCAGCCTCCTAAGTAGTTAGGATTACTGACGTGAGTAAGCACCTGGCCCTAACTGCAGGTATTTACTGGTGTTTACTTGGTGCTAGGCCGTGGGCATGGTCTCCTGAGGCCTGCTATCGTTTGATTCCCACACCATGTTAGAAGAGCCGTGTTCATGCCACTTTGGAAATAAGTGACGGGGGAGGGGGCGGGGGGCGGGAGAAGGCCCTTGCAGGAGGCCCCAGCCTGCACCGGGGCCGGGATGCGTCTCCTCTCCAGACTCGGGGTCCACACTACTCGCGCCGACCGCCCCCAGAACCGTCGCTAATGGATCCTCCGGCTGGCGCTTCAAGAGGCATGTTTGATGCAAGCTCTGGAAGTCGCGATCCCCGGGGCCCCCAGCCGACTGGGCGGGCGCTTTCGGCTGCGCCGCTCAGGGCGTGGCACCAGAACACGACCCGGCCGGGCCCCGGCTCGCGCGCCCCTGCAACAGGGAGCTCCGTCTCGAACGAGCGCCCCGAAGCCCCGGGTCCGAAGGAAGCCGGCACTCCCTGCACGCCAGGCGCGGCGGAGGCCCCCGGGGGCCGGGAGAGGGCGGGGCCGAAGCGCCAAGGGCCAGGCTGGGGAGCCTTTCCCCGCCCCCTACGGACCCCGGCCCCATTCCAGCCCACCCGGGCCCCCGACCCCGGGGAAGCGCTCCGGCCGCGCAGCCGCAAGGCGCGCGAGCGAATAGCTCGCAATTTCGCCCAGCTCATCGCCGCCCGACTGCGCCTGCGCGGCGCGCGCCGGCCGAGCCCCTCCGAGGCTCACGGTTTGACAGTTCCCACCCCGGTCCCTCGGCGCCCACTCCGCGGGCCTGCGCGACCTGGAGCGCACGGGGCTGGGGGGTCGCTCCCAGGAGGAAGTCTCCCGAGTCCGGGCCGCCTTTTACCTGCAGGATATTCGACGTGGGTGAGGGTCACCGGCCGCCATGAAGCGGGGAGCGAGCACTGTCCGTCCGCTGCCATCTTACCCGGAGACCGGGCTTCTCTGAGCAGCCAATGGGGAACGAGGGGGGCGGTGGTCCTGACCTATCACGCCGGGGAGGCGCCACACACCCAATCAGAGGCCGATATAGGTAGTGGCGCAGCCATTCAGTGTTCAGCCCTTTGGGCTGCAAGGAACAGCTAATCAGACTGCAAGAACCCTCGGCGCCTGCGAGCCGGCCCACTCAGCACCCAATGCGGAGCGAGCGCAGAGAGTTGTTTGACCAATCAGGAAAAGGGAGGGTTCCAGCCTTGAACAGAAAGCAGAACAGCCAACCCGAAGGTGTTTCTGGAGTGAAGGGTGGGCAGGGCGAGCCAATCAGGCACTAGCATGAGGGGCGTGTTGTGCTTTGGTGGGAGCTTTGGTTCGAGCGGATCTGCAGCCCAGAGAGGAGGGTTCCGTTGTTGGAATCTGCTGGACACCACGGAGTCTGAACTGACCTACTTTTAACTATGACTAAACTGAGGTCAAATACGACTTCTGCTACTAACCAGACTGCCGTTATGTTCACAAAGTGCTCGGGTCGAAAGGGACTTCCTGGGGAGGAGAGGGGTACACTAGGCCTTAAACACTTAACAAGAGGGGGAAATGGAAGGTTTTTTTCTTTTTGTCGGCTGTGGGGCTTGAGCTCCGGGCCTGGGTCGCTCAGCTCTTTCACTCAAGGCTAGCACTCTACCCCTTTGGGCCACAGCTCCACTTCGGATTTTTGGAGAGAAGAGTCTCACGGGACCAAGCACCAGTGGCTCACGCCTGGAATTCTAGCTATACAGGAGGCTGAGATCTGAGGATTGCGGCTCAAAGCCAGCTCAGGCACAAAAGCCCGTGAGACGTTTTTTCCAAGGCCTGGGCCCTGTCCCTGAGCTCTTCAGCTCAGAGGGAGTGCTCTACCGCTTGAGCCACAGCGCTACTTCTGGTTTTCTTGTGGTTTTATTGGAGATGAGAGTCTGACAGACTTCCCTGCCTGGCCTGGCTTTGAATCATGATCCTCAGATCTCAGTCTCCTAAGTAGCTAGGATTACAGGCATGAGCCACCAACACTCGGTAAGACTTTTTTTTTTTTGGTCGGTCGTGGGGCTTGAACTCTGGGCTTGGGTGCTGTCCCTGGGCTGGCTTTGAACTGCGATCCTCAGATCTCAGCCTCCTGAGTAGCTAGGACTACAGGTGTGAGCCACCGGCGCCCAGCTCAGTAAGACTCTTCTTTTTCTTTTTTTTTGGGTCCGGTCATGGGGCCTGAACTCTGGGCCTGGGCGCTGTCCCTCAGCTCTTCAGCTCAAGGCTAGCGCTCTACCACTTGAGCCACAGTGCCACTTCCGACTTTTTTCTTTTTTGCTTATGTGGTGCTGAGGAATCGAACCCAGGGCCTCATGCGTGCAAGGCAAGCGCTCTACCACTGAGCCAACTTCCCAGCCCTCAGTAAGATTCTTATCTTCAATTAACCACCGGAAAAATGGAAGTGGTGCTGTGGCTTCAAGTGGTAGAGCACACTAGCCTTGAGTAAAAGAGCTCAGGAGCCGGGTGCCCGTGGCTCACGCCTGTAATCCTAGCTACTCAGGAGGCTGAGATCTGAGGATCTTGGTTCAAAGCCAGCCCAGGCAGGAAAGTCCGAGAGACCCTTATCTCCAATAAACCACTAGAAAACCAGAAGTGGCGCTGTGGCTCAAGCAGTAGAGCACTTGCCTTGAGCTGAAGAGCACAGGAACAGCGCCCAAGCCCAGAGTTCAAGACCTACGACCGACAAAAAAAAAAAAGAGAGAGAGAGAGCTCAGGAACATTGTCCAGGCCCTGAATTCAAGCCCCATGACCGACAAAAAGGATGAGGAGGAAGAGGATGAGGTAGTAAAGGAGGAGGAGGAGGGGAGGGGGGAGGCTGGGAAGGGTTGTGAAGCGTAAACAAAGGAGGAGGCTGCAATGCTTGGTAAGAAATGTACGCATTATCCTGCCCATGTAATTGTAACTCCTCTGTACAGCATGTTCACAAATAAAATAAAATTTAAAAAAAAAAGGAGGAGGAGGAGGAAGAGGAGGAGGAGGAAGAGGAGGAAAGAGGGAAGGAAGAAGGAAATTAAAAAGATTCTCAGGTTTTCCTGAGGCCTGACTGGACCCAGTAGGGATAGAAGGAACCTTGGTTATTTTTCTATTCCCTGGTGCTGCCATAGAGATGTCTTGCACCCTACCTGGAAGAGCCCTGGACAACATCCCTGAGCAAGGCCCAGGTCCCATTAGCAACACTAGTGTTTATGGATGGAGGGAGGATAAACCAGAATTATTCATCAGCCAGAGTGGCTCCTCTACCAGTCTGGCAGGGTGGCTGGACCGGGCAGGAGCCATGATGGGGACTTTGACTCTGCCAGTGGGCCTGGAAGGCCCCTCCCCCAGCTCAGTGTACTCAGTTTCCTGCCCAGCCTTGTTTGGGTCTGCTGGTCTCTGGTCCCTGTCACCTGTCCTTCGCCACCTCAGGCACTGCCATTATTAGCAGGTGAGAAGCAGGAGATGAGAGGAAGGAGTTGTGAGCTTTCTAAAATAGCTTCCCTGGGCCAGACAATCCTTACCCTTCTGTGCTGTACTACCCCTCCCCAGTAGGCCCAGAGAGGCCAAGTCCACAAGTCAAGCTTGTTAGACCCCAGGGTGCTCTCCCTGAAGAGCACTTGAGGGACTGCTGAGTGGAAATTACAGGGTGGGGTATCTCTGGTGGAGGAAACAGCTTAAGCCAGAAAGAGAAAGGGGAGTGAGTCACTAGGGAAAGGGACAGTGGCCTGGCCACCCAAAGCCTGGGTTGGGAGTGTGTGTGTGTGTGTCTGTCTGTCTGTCTGTCTATGTTTAAATACACGTTAGCCATACATGGTGGCTCAACACCTGAAATCCTGGCTACTTGGGAGGCAGAGACCAGGAGGTTCCACTTTCAAGACCACCCAGGACAAAAGGTTAGAGGAACACCATCTCAACTAATAACCTGGGCATGGTCCTGCGATGCAAGAGGCATTGAAGTATGCACCTGGCCCCAGACATAAAAAACCAAGACTCTGTATGAAAAATAGCTAAAAGTGAAAGGGCAGAGGCAACTGGGTCAGTGGTAGAGCAAGCATAAGACCCTGAGTTCAACCTCAACACTGAAAAAAAAATAACAAAACAAAATACATCTAGTCTGGAAGGATGAACTCTGCCCGTAATCTTTGCACTTGGGAGGTGGAGGTAGAAAGGTTTTCACTTTGAGGCCAGCCTGGGCTACATGGCAAGTTCCAGGCCAGCCTGAGCTATGCAGCATGACGCTGACAAATCAATGTATATCACATTATATATGTGTGTGTATTTTTTTCCTTAATTTTTATTTTTGGCCACTGCTGGGGCTTGAACTCAGGGCCTGGACACTGTCTCTGAGCTTTTTTTGCTCAAGGCTAGCACTCTGCCACTTGAGCCACAGCACCCGTTCTGGCTTTTTCTGTTTCTGTGGTACTAAGGAATCAAACCTAGAGTTTCAGGCATGACAGGCAAGCACTCTATCACTAAGCCACATTCCCATCCCCATGTATATTTTTATACATCCATTCATGCGGAAAATTCCAGGAATTGAGTGTATGTAGCTTGATGCAATTTTACAAACTAGATGTGCTAAACAACCCCCAAATAAGGAGCCAGGACCCCAGAAGCACTCCAATCCCAACACACACACACACGACTTCTGACATCCATTAGGCATGCCTAGAGTTTGTACCAGCTATAAACAGAAGCTATAACACTACACTGGACCTGTGACTCACATGGAGCACTGTGGCTGTGACTTGTCCATGCTGAAATTGTCTCATAGCTGTGTTTTCTTTCTTTCTTTCGTTGGTCATGGGGCTTGAACTCTGGGCCTGGGCACTGTCCCTTAGCTCTTCAGTTCAAGGCAAGCGCTCTACCACTTGAGCCACAGCACTACCCCTGGTTTTCTGGTGGTTTATTGGAGATTAGAGTCTCATGAACTTTCCTGCCAGGCCTGGCTTTGAACTGTGATCCTCAGATCTCAGCTTCCTGAGTAGCTAGGATTAAAGGTGTGAGCCACCAGCCCCCAGCCCAAGCCGTGTCATCTCTTAGGATAAACATGCTGCCATTTATTTCACATGCTGTTCTTGGGGACATCTGTGGCCAGCAGTGCACTGGAGCTATGGCAGCCAACACGGATGTGGACTGCATTGTCCTTTCCAAATAGGCCTAATTGGAGATGCCTGGAGATGCTTTTCTTTCTTATTTTACTTTTTGGTCCCAATCCTGGGGTTTGAATTTAAGGACTAGGCTCTGTCCCTAAGTTTTCATGCTCAAATCTAATGCTCTACAAGCCACAGTTCCACTTCTGGCTTTTTGGTAGTTAGAGACAAGAGTCTCATAGACTTTCCTGACCAGGCTGGCTTCACACTGCAATCCTCAGCTCTCAGCCTTCTGAGTAGGTAGACTTAAAGGTATGAACCACTGGAACATGGCCTCCTTCCTTCCCTCCTTTCCTTCCTTCTTCTCTTTTGAGGGGGGGGGGGAGTGTCTGCTGGTCCTGGGGTTTAACCCAGGGCCTGCTGAGCTTTTTTAAATTTTGTTCAAGGCTAGTCCTCTAGGGGTTGGAAGCTTGGCTCAGTTGGTTAGAGACCCAGCCAATGAGCCATCTCACTTTGGGGGGGTGGGGGGGAGCAAGGCCAAAGTGGAGCTGTGGTTCAACTAGTAGAGCAATAGCCTGTGTCTATGTGTGTGCATGCGCGCATACTCATGCATACCCACACAAGTGTGCATGTGCTTAATGAGATAAGAATCTCATAGACTTCCCTGCTTGGGCTGGCTTTGAACCTTGAATCTCAGATCTCAGCCTCCTGAGCAGCTAGGATTACAGGCGTGAACCACCTGGCACCCAGCTTCTTCCACTATTTTTGTGGTACTGGGATTTGAACTGAGAGCCCTGAACTTGCTAAGCAGGCACTCTGCTCCAAGCCCTACCTCCAGTCCTCTCTTTGCTTTAGTTTGTTTCTAATAGGACTTTACACGTTTGCCTGGGCTGTCTCAGAGGCAGCTTCTACAGCGGGGATCACAGCATTTCTGGAGATACACCAAGGAAGCATTGCCTGGTCCTGCGATGGCAGAGGTGAAGGTGACTCAGCCCAGATGTGTGGGAGGAGTCTGAGGCGCCGCCTCCTCTCGAGCCCAGGGTTAGACCCACGGTATCCCTGACGTGGCTGTGAGCCGCCCCATCCTTAGTCCTACCCTCACAGTCACCCAGCAGATCAGCTCTGAGTGCATCCAGCTAAAAAATGAAAGCTGTGAGGCCCAAAGCACGCATCCATCTGCCAGGGGCACCTGGCTGGTGGCTCTGAACCAAACTGCTAGCTGCCTCTCCCGCCGGACCACAAGAAGCCCAAAGCCCAGCATCTCCTGAGCCTCGTCCCAGAGCCGGGGCTGGCCTCTGCACCTCACCACACTGGCTAGGAAACTCCCCTGAGATGCAGGGGGCACTGTTCTCTGGGCCAGAGGTTCACTCTTTCTTGAAATGCTTGGGCTTCCTGGCCAAGATGGTGCTACATGTGGCCTCTAGGATGAGGAGGGAAGCTGGCTAGCCTGGGTTCCATCCTCGTGAAATGTGCATCTCAGGGAGGTTGTGGAACTCTGGTGTCCAGAAGATGGAAGTTAGAAACACAAACAATCTCAAGCTAGAAGCCACTTTCGGTTGTCAAAACCCCTGATATCACTGGGCCTGGAGGCCCATGCCTGTAGTCCTAACGACTCAGGATCTTCATTGATTGCTATAGGACTTAAGTTTGAGGCCAACTAAGGGCAGGGAAGTCTGGACTGTCTCCAAAAAGCAAAAAATCAGGACTGGAAGTATGGCTCAGGTGGCAGAGCACCAGCCAAGGATACAAAGACCAGCAGGTATAAGATGGTGGGTTCCAATACCAGCACCACCAACATAAAAAAGTCACTGCTTCATGCTGGGCTTCTGCCCTTCTGCCTGGGCCCTGCTGTGCAATTCTGTTCATCATCACTCATGTAATTGGTGACTGGGCTCGGCCTGGTGGTCCCCAAGTCTGGCACTGTCCTGCAGACGTTCCTAGGCACAGGATTTGCTTTTGAAAGAAGTGCTCAGACTAATGCGTGGGGGGAGGGGGTGTCCTGAGGGCCAAACCTGTAAGCATCAAAGGAATGATGTAATGGGCTGTAAATCCCAGATCAAGACCCATGGCCTCTTCCTCTCCATCTCTTGTCCACTAGGAGGGGGGCCCACACTGTGTCACCATACTCCCCCACAATGTGGGGGCATCACGAGACTCAGCAGTGGGGGAGGCACGTGACCATGGACTGCACCATCTCAAACCTGAGCTAAAATGGGCCCTGCTTCATAAAAACAAGCAACCATTTGTGTGTTTTCTTTTGTCGGTGGTGGGGCTTGAACTCAGGGTCTGGGCATTGTCCCTGAGCTTTCACTCAAGGCTAATGCTCTACCACTTTGCGCCACAGTGCTATTTCTGGTTTTCTGGTGGAAATTTGGAGAGCAATATCACAGACTTTCCTGTCTTGGATGGCTTTGACCCCTGATCCTTAGATCATAAGTCTCTCGAGTAAGTAGGATTATAGGTGTGATTCACAAGCTCCTGGTTCTTTATAGCTTTTGAGTTTGCTTTCTTCTAGTGCTAGGGATAGAACCCAGTGCCTCATTTATGCTACGCAAGAATTTTACCACCAGTTGTACCCCCAGCCACTACCCCTAAACATACACACAAAATCCATGAGAAAGTTAAGCAGGCTGTGTTGGAGTGAGATCAGCAGAAAGGGGGAGATTGGAGAGGGATGATGAATACACACACATACATACACACACACACACACACACACACACACACACACACTGTGGATAAACAATGAAACCTGCTTGAGATTGTCATAAGGGGGACAGAGATGGAAAGGGAACATGTGCGGGCTGGGAAGGTGGCTCAGTGGTACAGCGCTTGCCTTGCATGCATGAGGCCCTGGGTTTGATTCCTCAGCGCCACACAAGCAGAAAAAGCTGGAAGTGGTGCTGTGGCTCAGGTGGTAGAGCACTAGCCTTGAGCTAAAGAGCTGAGGGGCAGTGCCCAGACCCAGAGTTCAGGCACCATGACTGGCAAAAAAAACAGAAACAAAAAAAGGGAACATGTGCATGTGTGAAAATATAATGGAACCTCTTTTAAAATAAAATGTGGTTTACACTCATTAAAACCTGGAAGCAGCACTGTGGCTCAAGTGGTAGAGCGCTCACCTTGAGCTGAAGGTAATGCTTAGGCTCAGAGTTCAAGACCCACAACCGGCAAAAAAAAAAAAAAAGGCTAGATCTTTTGGGAAGGTGGCTTAGTGACAGAGTGCTTGCCTAGCAAGCATGAACCTCCGGGTTCAATTCCTAAGTACCACATAAACAGAATAAGCTGGAAGTGGCACTGTGGCTAAAGTAGTAGGGTACTAACCTTGAGCAAAAAAAACTCAGGGACAGTGTCCAGGCCCTAAGTTCAAGTCCCAGTACTGGCAAAAACAAAACAAAAAACCCTGGAAGCTGGCTGCCAGTGGCTCACACAGCTAATCCTAGCTACAAGGGAGAATGAGATCTGAGGATGGTGGTTCAAAGCCAGCCTGGGCAGAAAAGCCTCTGAGACTCTTATCTCTAATTAACCATTCCAAAACAAAACAAAAAACTGGAAGTGGTGCTGTGACTGAAGTGGTAGAGCACTAGCACAAAGAGGCTCAGAACAGCGTCCAGGCCCTCAGTTCAAGACCCACTAGGGAGAAAACAAAAAACAAAACCTGGTGGAGCTGGACAACAGGGGCTCACACCTGTAATCCTAGCTATTCAGAAGGCTGAGATCTGACTCAAAGCTAGCCAGGTGGGAAAGTCCATGAGATTCTTATCTAATAAACCACTCAGAAAAGGCCAGAAGTGGAGCTGTGGCTCAAGTAGAGTGGTAGCCTTGAGCAAAAAGAAACTCAAGGCTAGCATCCAGACCCTGAGTTCAAACCTCAGGACTGGCACAAAGAAAAGAAGAAGTGGTGAGGCTGGCTTCCGCTGTTAGTACCCAGCCCAGCCCTTTGCCTGGGACAGGTGATTACAGAAACGGCCTGTGAGTCTGTACTTAGGTCTAGTCCAATATTTACATTTTACCAATGTGGAAACTGACGCCTACCATGAGAGCAGCAGCTTCCCTCGATGGTCCATGTGGGTCAAAGCACAAACCACCCACGGCCTGTCTGCACTTCACATCTCCGCTGACCTTTGTCCTCTGGAGTCTCTACCCAGCGTGTCAAAGCCCCCAGATCTGGCCCAGGAAGCCAGCAGCCCGCACCCCACGGCCAGCTGCGTGCGCGGAGCCTGTTTCAATGGTTTATTTGACTCCCAGCTGATGACGGACGGACTTGGAAGCTGCAACAGACTGAGTGCTAGAGGCAGTGCGTGGACACGTAAACAGGACAGAACAAAAACGCCACTTCTGCGCCGTCTGGGACCATCAGAGCCGTGGTCCAGGGTTACATTCAGAGCATGGGGAAAAGTGCAAATAAACGGAATGTGGGGGCGGAGGGGGGAGGGGCTGCTCCCTCCAGGCGTCTGCCACCTCCCTCTCCTGAGTGGGCCTTCCTGCCCTCGACGGCCCTCTCCATTCCTGGGAGGGGACCCTGTGCCAGGAGCCAGTGCTAGACCCTGGACAGAAACAACTGGAGTCTTCTGGAAGGATCAGCTCCTCCAGATGGTGTTAAGGCAGTATGGAAAACCCCATCTCAGGCCGAGATGGGGGAATGCAGGGCTGCCGGGACCCCTGCGGCAACTGGGACAAGGGCTAACAGGGAGATCCGCAGGGCCAGCGCAGGCCTCACACTCCCAATGGCTCCAGAGCGTGTGTGCGTAGTGTTGAAGGCCAAGTGCTGGCACAGTTCTTGCTGTGTGTGTGTAGGGGGAAGGGGGGGCAGCGCTGGGCTGGGTGCATCCTCTGCCCTCCCCAGCTCCCTGGCCGCCAATGGCAGCACAGGTGACAGGGGCCTGGGTGACCCCCAGGCCAGAGTCCCCAGCTCCATGCCTAGCACCACCAGGGAGTTGTTCCAGACACAGGGAAGGCATGGGGCACCCAGCTCCACCCGTCTTTGGTGGTGGCAGAGATGGGGGAGCAATGATGGTCTTTGGAAGGGCGTGATGATGTGGGGAGACAGTGCCCTGGTTTGGTGCTTCCATTTGTAAAGAGCTGGTCCCTGCCTGTCGTACCTCTGACAGCCCAGGCCTACGGCCACAAGGTGCCCCCGTCCCACGGGGCCTGCCTGTGCCCCCCCTTTGTCTCCTCCCCCCCAGCTCCCTTGCCTGCAGCCTTGGGAGAGGGAGAGGTGTCAGAGATTGTGGGGTCCCTCACCAGAGCACCCTAGCTCCTCCTGTCTCAGTTCTCCACACCACTTTCCTGCTTTTCTCTCGGCCAGGCCCGGGCAGCTCCAGCTCCCCCGGGGAACCTCAGGGGCAGCGAGTGCACCCATAGGGGCTCAGCAACTCTCCATGGATGTTCGCCCTCTGGGCCTTCGGGTTCCCAGATGAGGTGGGGACCGGCATGGCTTAGCCCTGGGCCCCGCAGCCCTTGGACACCAACTCCAAGGAAGGGGGAACCTTCTCACTGCTACCCCGGCGTGAACGAGGCCAGGCAGCAGGCTGCCCTCTCCCTGTGCCTGCCACTACTGCAGCTCCTCCAGGGGCCCATTTTCCCGGGGCAGTGCCCCATTGAGGCCGACACTGCTGGCCGCTGGCATCCCCAGGTAGCCCAGTAGGATGTCACTGCGGCGCCGCGACAGCTGCAGAATGTCTTCTGCCAGCGCGGGTACCGAGGTGTACCGCACGTTGTCCAGGTCGAACATGTCCCTCAGGTAGTGCACGATCTGGTGCTGGGGGTACAACAGGCGTCAGCTTGCGTGCCCCAGTGATGCTCTCCACACCCAACCGAGCCCCTTCTCTACGGCCAGGGCTCTAGCCCATCCTCCCCCTCCATTGGCACCTCTGGGGGCTCCTGGGTACCTTGAAGAAAGCACAGACTTCGGCCAGCTGGGGCTTGGGGCCAAGGAAGCCGAAGGCCAGGACAGGGCTGACGTGCTCCGATACGGAGTAGAAATGGGAGATGAAGCCGTCGGGCACCTGTGGGGGAGAGGAAGGACTAAAAAATGTGGGGTCCAGGGGGTGAGGGTTTACCAAGCCCATGGTAGGGGTGTGGAATCAACTGAAAGGCTCCTTTATAGCCCAGCTACTTCACCTTTCCAGTGCTTGGGAAAGCGGCTTGGGGGCGTGGCAGTGCGAGGTGGGTGTGAGGCGGCCTCGGGTAGGAAGCACCCCGGCACAGGCTGTGTGCGGCAGAGCCACACAGGGGAGCAGGGCAGGGCCCGGCAGCGTGCTGGGCAGGAGGGCTCGGCAGGCTCTCTGGGCATCCTGCCACCGCCATTGTCTAGACTCAGCCAGCCCACTTGTGTGCACAAGCCTCCCCCTTGCCCCAGGCCCCCCCTCCTCTGCTAAGTCCTGAACACATGCTGGGGTCGCTTCCAGCCTTGGCCTTGGAGGTGACAACACTGTCCTCCATGGCTTTTGGGGAGCTCCTAAGGGAGGAGGGGCAATGTCAGGATGGGCAGCCAGCCTGGGGAGTTAAGAAGCCATGGGGACAATGGGCCTCAGGAGCCCCAGGAGGCCTCCGGTGGTGGCCACTTCCCTTCCTCCCTCTAAGGGAGTCTTGGCCATGCCCAGGCTCTGGCATGGCTCTCCTCTGGTCACTTACCATTAGGAGCCTCCTCTTGGCTTTCAGGACCGACCAGCACGCAGTAGCCAGGGCCTAAGGCAGAGAAAAAGACCAGCCAGTGTCAGAACAGGCCTGATCTGCCCCCGGTCTGGGATCAAGCTCTTCTCTGCAGTTTGCCCTTGCCTGGGAAGGAAGATGAAGCTCATCTACCTGAGCTCTGTCCCGTCTCTCCTCTCAATTTGGAGTCAGACACACTATTTCCACTTGATTCTGGACTCTAGTCCCTACTGCTGTGGGTCTCTGGACTTATTGACCTTCCCTGAGCCTCAGTTTCCTCCTCTGTCTACTTCATCTGGGCTTGTGGGAAAAACAGTGATGTCTGTAACCAGCTTAGCTAAAGCCAGTCTAGTCAGGTTCTGTGACTCACACTTGTAATCCTGACTGCTCAGGAGGCTGAGATCTGATGAGATTTGACAATCACAGTTTGAGGCAAGGAGGGAGGGGAGGCAGCAAAGTCTGTGGGACTCTTTATATTCAATTAACCACCAAAAAGCCAGACGTGAACCTGTGGCTCAAATGGCAGAGCATTAGCTTTGAGGGAAAAAGTAAGAGATAGTACCAAGGCCATTTAATTTTTTTCAGTCCTGGAGCTGGAAGTCAGGTCTTAGACACTGTCCCTGAGCTCTTTTGCTCAAGGCTAGCACTCTACTACTTTGAGCCACAGCACCATTTCTGGTGATAGTTAACTGGAGATAAGTCTCATGGACTTTCTTTTCTGGATTGGTTTGAACTGCGATCCTCAGATCTCAGCTCCTATTATAGTTGTGAGCCTCTGGCACCTGGCTGGTGTTTTTCCCTATTTTGGCTTAACTAATTGGACTGAATCAAAACTGGGCTGAACTAATGCCATCTCTGACCAAGCAGACCTGCCCAGGCGAAACAATGTGAGGGAACTCTCATGCGAAACTCATGGAAGTGGGTGTCTGGACTGGACCCCAGCAGTCCTAGATCGTGGAGGCAGGTGCAGACAGGAACTGTCTGATGGGCACCCAGCCCTGGTGTCCCCAGCAAGGATGGCAGGAAGGGGCTCAAGCAACGGCCTGGGACCAGGTGATGGGGTGGAAGGGGGGGGGGTTGGCCCACCGTCTCCTTGAAGCTGTCTGACAGCCAGCGGTTCCTCAGGACGGCGAGCACGGAGGACGGGGGGTTCTCCAGGTCCTCGAAGGCGTCCATGAGGATGAAGTCGAGCACAATGTCGAAGAAGCTCATGCACACCACCTATGGGGGGCAGTGCCTGAACCCGCGTGCACACGAAGGCCTCATCCACCACGTATGACTGAGCTCACACGTATGTGAGGGCTTCATCTCCCTGTTCGCTTGAGCCCATGTGCAGGTGGACGCCTCGTTTCCCCGTTTTGTACTGGGGCGCAGCAGGGGCTGCCCTCATACATAGGCCTGGGATAGAACAGGAACCCATGCTCTGGCCAGCGCCAGCGCCATCTCGGCTGCCTGGAAGCAGTGGAAGTCCGCAGCCCCGGCCTCCAGCCACGACCTCGGTAGAGGGGATCAGGTACTCACCCCACGGCCTTCCAGCTCTAGCCGGGTGGTGGTCCAGGTCTCAGGCCGCAGTGCATAGCTCAGCATCTCCTCATAGCTCTCCAGAAAGCCTTTGGGGCTCTGTGGAGACAAGCACAGCCTGTTCTGTGTTGTGGGGAGAGGCCCTGAGACCTGGCGGGACCCTCGCAGGGACGAGCTGGGCTAGAGCATGGGGATGTGGCAAGGGAGGCCTGCAGCTTCGCCCTGGAATCACCTCCCCATGGCAGTGTATTGTCTGGAGAACTTAGGTACGAGCACCTGCGGCTGGCCAGGGCGGTGTGAAGCCCGCCAGCACGCTCCCACTCTACAAACAGCTAGGAGCAAAGATCCAAATCTTTGCAACCTTGTGCCTCAGGAGCAAGGAGGAGGAAAGCGCAGCCCCATGTTTACCTGGTCTGGGCAGCACCAGCCCAGTGCCCATCAGCACCAGGTGCACATCAGCAGTGCAAGAGTTGCATGGAGTTAGGGTTGAGATTCAGTGCATGCAGGCGTGGCTAACACGCCATAGAGGCATGCCTTCCCCCGTTCGGGGCCACGCCCACAGGGCTCAGATGGGCTTTAGAGTGGCTCACAGACAGTAAGGAAATGGCCCAATTGTACAACTCCAGAGACTGGGCACTACATCTATCCAGATGGGGCCAGTCCGGGCTCCACCTGCCTAGGGACCCCTAATGGGACTTAGCATAGGCTTTGGTGTTTGGGGGCTACCCAGTGGCCCCTTCCATTGTGTGTGCGTGTGCCTGCGTGTGTGTGTGTGTGTGTGCGTGTGTGTGTGTGTGTGTGCTGATACTAAGGCTTGACCTCAGGGCTTAGGTGCATTTTCATTCAAAGCTAAACTCTATCACTAGAGCCACACCTCCACTTTTAGTTTTTATATATCTGCCAGGCGGAAGAGCAACTGGAGGTGAACTGAGGTGTAGCACAGAGCTCACGAAGGCAGATGCTGGACGGGTTAACCCCTGACCACCTGCACCATAGGCTCTGGTCCTAGAGCCATCCTACGGTCCCCTTCTCGCTCTCTTCCATGTGTATTTCACAGTAAAGTTGTTTCAGCTAAAAAGAGAATTGAAGGGCTGGGAAGGTGGCTCAGTGGAAGAGTGCTTGCTTGCCTTGCATATATGAAGCCCTGGGTTCGATTCCTCAGCACCCCATAAGCAGACAAAGCTGGAAGTGGCACTGTGGCTCAAGTGGTAGAGCGCTAGCCTTAAGCTGAAGAGCTGAGGGACAGCGCCAAGGCCCAGAGTTCAAGACCCACAACTGACAAAAAAGAGAGAGAAAGAGGGAGACAGAGGGGGAGGGAGAGAGAGAGAGAGAGAGGGAGAGGGAGAGGGAGAGGGAGAGGGAGAGAGGGAGAAAGAGAGAGAGAGAGAGAGAGAGAGAGAATTGAGCCAGGATCTAGTGGCTCATGCCTGTAATCCTAACTACCCAGGAGGCTGAGATCTGACAATCCAGGTTTGAAGCCAGTCAGGGCAGGAAAGTGTTAGGACTCTTATCTCCAACTAACAAGCTAGAAGTGGTGCTGTGACTCAAGTGGCAGAGTGCTAGTCTTGAGCATAACAGCTCAGGGACAGTGTCCACGACCCGAGTTCAAGCCTCAGGATCTATTACCAAAAAAAACAATGGAAATAATGTACTAAGAGCAGAGGCAGCACATGCCAAAGCCCAGGGCAGCGCAGCATGAAGCAGCAGCAGAGCATCTAGCCTGCAGCAGAGCCCAGGGCAGCGCAGCATGAAGCAGCAGCAGAGCATCTAGCCTGCAGCAGAGCCCCGCGCCCCTCAGTCTGGACAATGCGAGGCGCCCACACTCACGTACCAGCTCCAGCTCCCATCATGGGTGGCAGCCGTGACGGACATCTTACAAAGGTGGAAGATGTGAGAAGATGAAGGGTTCTTGTTCGTTTGTTGTTTTGTGCCAGTACTAGGGCTTGAACTCAGTATTTTGCATTCTTGCTTAGCTTTTCTAAAAGCTCAAGGCTGGTGCCCCACCACTTGAGTCACAACTCCACTTCTGCCTTCTTGGTGATTAATTGGAGATAAATCTCCCAGCCTTTCCCGCCTGGGCTGGCTTTGAACTGGATTCTGGGATCTTCCAATCTCAACATTCTGAGTAGAATTACAAACCCTACCTCTTACTAAACAGGCACTCTACCACTTCAGCCATACTACCAGCCTGGGCTTTTGCTGGTTATTATGGAGTCTATTATACTTTTCTGTTCAGGAATGTGTAATCCTTCAACTCTCAGCCTTTCTAGGATTACAGGTGTGAGCCTGTAAGTGCGGGGCTTTTCAGATGTGATTTGTAGGATTACCAAGCATGTGAGAAGAAAAGACTCAGACATGAGAAAACTGTACCAAACCCATATAAACAAGCACAAGTGGGTAATAAACTGAAAAAATGACGGCACCTCATCCATAATCAAAGCTCCATAAAGTACCGGGTAAAACAACAAGGACTTCAGATTACTGATACAGGCATGACACAATGTTCTTGGAATGTAAGTGCCAAGGCTTCTCAGAGGCCAAACTGGCAAGCTCCACTGGTCAACAGAATGACCTGCTGCAGCCTGAACTCCCAGGGCCTCCCAGGGATCTGTGTGAGGATGCCCACGGTGAAGAGCAGATGCCACCCAAACAGGTTCGTGTATTAGAAATAGGCCACAGCCAGCCCACACAATGGAGGGCTGTGCACTCAGCAGCAATCACTCCAAGTCCTCGTGTGTAGAGATGAATGAGGTACACTGTACACTGTGATTCCACAATGTCAAGTTTGTGGGCCGACGGGAGGGCACATGGGCTGAGGACTATGTCCAAGGGGCAGTGTCCACGAAGCTGGTGGGCGGGCACAGACTGCAGCAGGGTCAGAGGGCACAGGGGACCTTTTACTGTTGTACTGTACAGTTGGTAAATTTTATACAATTGAGCCAGAAGTAAAAAAATCAGACAAGAAATTACTTATTACCTTACTGATGTAAATGTAACCTCTCTGTACAGCATCTTTACAAGAAAATAAAACTAAAAAAAAAAAATAAATCAGGGGCTGGGAAGGTGGCTCAGTGGTAGAGCACTTGCCTTGCATGCCTGAGGCCCTGGGTTCGATTCCTCTGCACCACACAAGCAGAAAGAAAAAAGCCGGAATTGGCACTGTGGCTCAAGTGGTAGAGCGCTAGCCTTGAGCTGAAGAGCTGAGGGACAGTGCCCAGGCCCAGAGTTCAGGCCCCACGACCGGACTCAAAAAAAAAAAAAAAAATCAGAACAGACCTCTTATTTTTCAAAGTTGGTTTGGGGAAAGTCTCAGCCCTTTCCCAGATCTCTGATGGCTACAGGATGCCCTCACAGCTCATTCTCGGGTTTATTTTTTGTTGGTCATGGGGCTTAAACTCTGGGCTTGGGCGCTGTCCCTGTGCTCTTCAGCTCAAGGCAAGCGCTCTACCGCTTGAGCCACAGCACCACTTCTGGTTTTCTGGTCATTAATTTGAGATAAGAGTCTCATGGACTTTCCTGCCCAGGCTGGCTTTGAACCATGATCCTCAGATCTCAGCCTCCTAAATAGGATTATAGGTGTGAGTCACTGGTTCCCAGCTTTATTTTACTTTTCAAAATAGATTTCAGGCCTATACATTCAATCTATACATTTCTTTCACATATATTTTCTTTTACTTTGTGTGTGTGCTCGTGCACGCGTGCACATGTGCATGAGTGTATATGCCAATACTGGGGCTTGAACTCAGGGCCTAGATGCTGTCCCTGAGCTTTTTTGCTCAAGGCTGGTGCTCTACTCCTTAAGCCACAGTTCCACTTCTGGCTTTTTAGTGGGTAACTAACGGTAAGAATCTCATAGACTTTCTTGCCTGGCCTGGCTTCAAAGCATGATTGTTGGATCTCAGCTTCCTGAGTAGCTAGAATTACAGATATGAGCCACTGGTATCTGGCTTTTGTACAACCTTTTGAAGTTTAGGGGGGAGAAAAAAGGGAAAGGAAACAGACCAGCAGGGTAGAATAGGGGTACATATGGGGGCTGGGGATCCCGGCCGCAGCTACCTTTTCAGCTCTGGTCATCAAGCCAGCCACCATCTGCCGGCCGACCTCCCCAAAGAACAGCTGGTTGCTCTTGTCCTCCAGAAGCCCCTGAGGAATGAAGGAGGACAGCGGGTGAGCGGCCAGCCTCCCCAAGCCCGCGGAGAGGGGAGCCACAGGCCTGCCCCCGTGTGGAGTGCTCACCTCAAAGGCCTGCCGAACACAGTGCAGCTTGGCCAGGAAGTCCTGGTCGCTGTAGCAGCCCAGCAGCTCTGTCCTGAGGGGAGTGGCGGTGTTACTACACAGGCCCTGCCCAGCAGAGCCCAAGCCCTTCTCCCCGCCCCCCACGCCCAGCCTGGCCCTGTCTTGCTCTGGCAGGGGACCTCTGGCTAGTGCCAAGGTCCTGGGCCCTGGGTGCAGGTGGCAGGTCTGGTCATGAGAGCTGGGCTCATGCTGATGTCTGCCTCCTTTAACCACAACCCATTGATAATCCTCACCCACAAAGGACGAAAATGGCCAAACTCCTCGGCAGAGATGGGCAGGGCTCTGCCACTGTGGCTGTCTTCTTCCCACCCACCACCCAGGGGCCCTTTTTCCTTTTCCTTTCTTTTGTGCTGGCACTGGGGCTGAGCCCTCAGCTGTCACGGAGGTCACCCCAGCCTCCCGCCCCCTCTGCCCACGCCTCCACTCCCCTCACCTGAGGGTCCGGCAGGCCACCTGCCCCTCCTTCACCAGCTGCAGGGCCTCCTCATAGGCGGCGGCGGGCCTGGAGAGGGGGATGGGAAAATCCCCAACCTGCAGGGACTCAAAGAGCTGGAGGGAGACGGGGGGAAGGGCAAGGGGACCTGTAAGCAGCACCCTGGGGGGGGGACAGGGCACCTGCCCTCCCTGGCAGCACACTCTAACCCATGGGCCTACCAGGATACATCAAAGGGAGCCTCGCCATGCCATGAATGGGAGGCCTGGGCTCAAGTTCCACCCTGGACCTCCACATTGCCCCCTCAGTGCCTGTCCCCCAATGACTGCCTCCTGGACACATGCACGCTCTGTCCTCTCGTCCTCGGGGAGACATTATGTTTCCCCCAACATGGCAAAGGCAGGAAGCAATGCTGTGCCACGAGCTCCAGCAGTGGGCTGGAGGAACGAGAGGTCAGTATGGACAGAGTGATCACCCACTAGGCCCCCAAACTCTGCCTGGTCGGCCCCCCAGCTCCCCCAAACTCTGCCTGGTCGGCCTCCCAGCTCCCCCTCCTGCTACCCCCCCCACCCCCGCAAGTCACCTCGGTGGCGGAGAAGAAGGAGTCCTCGGAGGCCAGACTGTCCTCGTCGTCAGCCCGCAGGCGCAGTGAGCCCTCCGTCAGGGGCAGCATGAGGGTCCTCTCTAGAACAGAGCTGAGCTGAGCCCCCACGAGAGCTGGCGGGAACCCCGGCACCCAATGCTGCCGCCAGCCCGCAGAGGCTCCGCCTGGGTGGGCGAGCTGGGGGCTGCAAGGCTGCCGCGGCATGCTGGGAGGTGGCACCGAGCAGGTGCGCATGCTCACTACAGCCCCACCGTCAGACTGAGGTCTGGCAGCAGGAGTGGACGGTGTGTTGTGGTTGGCAGGTGGCTGTCCTCCCTGGGAGGCTGAGCGACCTCCAGGAGAGGAAGTGCCAGAGGAAGGGGGACTCCAGCGGCCAGAGCCACACTCAAGGCCAGAGGGGAGAAACCTCGTTAGCTGGGGAGCCTGGCCAAGCTCTCTGGACCCTAGTGTCCTACAGGTAGCTGGGTGTAAGTGATGTGGAAGGGGTCCTGTGTGCCCCGGGAAGCTCGAGGGGCGGTGCCATGCACTGCAAGGGCACAGCACACCATAGGCACCAGGAGGGAACTGGCCTTGCACTGAGCAGCCAGTGCACTTCAGCAATGCCACCTCCTCCCACCTCCATGAGGCAATGAAGCCTCAGCCTTCAGGCCTGCTTTGGGCTAACCACTGCGTGAGCCAACCCATCCTCCACCCACCGCCGGGCACCAGCAGGACAAGGGGTCGCCCAAAGCCCCCGAAGAGCTGTTGGGTGGGGGGTGCAGACACCTAAGCCCTGGGGTTGGCACCCAAGGGGCAGGGGCCAGCAATGCCCAGGCCTCATCTCAGCTCTACTCCTGCCTCAGTTTCCCCATCTGGCAAAGGATCCAGAGATTGTGATGCATCTGCAGCCCTGGGGCCCAGGCCCCAGCTCTCCCCTCCCCAGCTCCCCACAGAGGCCCTCACCAAGGTCCAGCAGCATGCTGTCAGAGGGGAAGGTGGAGCCGAACTCTTCCTGCAGATGGTAGGCTCGGTGTAGCAGGGACTCCAGCTTTTCTGCAAACTCCCTGCGCTGAGATTCTGGCTGTGGTGAAAGCAAAGGCATCAGCTCAACCCACTGAGCTCCCAAGCCGGGAGTAAAACTGCCACTGAGCCTGTAATCCTAGCTATTGAGGAAGGCTCCAGGTCCCCTGGTATCCCAAACCTCAATTCCATGGTCCTGTCTCCATTACTGCCTTGTCCCTGGTCGCGGCAGGTTGTGTCAATACCCCAAGTTCTTTTTTTTTTTTGTCAGTCATGGGTCTTGAACTCTGGACCTGGGCTGTCCCTCAGCTCTTCAGCTCAAGGCTAGCACTCTACCACTTGAGCCACACAGCCGCTTGTTTTTCTGGTGGTTTATTGGAGATAAGAGTCTCATGGACGTTCTTGCCTGGGCTGGCTTTGAACTGCAATCCTCTGATCTCAGGCTCCTGAGTAGCTAGGATTATAGGCATGAGCCACCGGCGCCTGGCTCCAAGTTCTTTATCTTTATAGTTTCACAAGAAGGTCTAACTTTCTAGCCCAGGCTAGCCGTAAACTTGAGATCCTCCTGCTTCAGCCTCCTAAGTGCTAGGACTACAGGCATGCACCACCATACCTAGCTTCTAGAAAACCTTATATGCAACATGAGACTTTCTACCAAACAAACAGAGCCACTCAACAGCTGAGAACAGCCAGGTTCAGATCTCAGCAGCACCAGTTCCTTTGAGGATTCTGATAAGCAGTCACCCTCTTCCTCAACAGAAATAAGAGTGCCACCTCCAAGCGTCTCAGGAAAGGCTTAAAGCAGAAAAAGGACACAACTTCCGGTGCCACAGTGATTGCTTTTGCATACAAAGAGAGGACCTTGTAGCCCTAAACAAGCTGTGGGCCTAAAATGCATGAACCCTGTGTGCCTGGGAAAGCCTTGAAGGAAGTGGAGATCTTCCTTGCAGAACAGGGCTCCCGCATGCAGGCAGCAGGACAGACAGGGAAGAGCTAGTACTGCGGTATGGGGGTGCTTCGTGAGCTCCAGCACCACGACACTCTGAGGTCATGGCCAGGTGCTGGCAGGGCTAGGCAGCAAGGGGCTGTCTGTCTGGAAAGGATGAGGTGGCAGAGAAGAGGCAGTCCAGGCAGGGCCTTGGCTACAGGCAAGTGGTGTGTGCAGATCCCTCTGCTTACTGTCTTCGAGGAGTGCCCTGCCCCCTGGCTCAGGCCCAGGAAGAGGGGTGCTGTTCCCCAGCCCGGGAGCAGGCCCCAGGTGCAGCGAGAGCCAGCCAGACTAGTTTCCACAGAGGCTGCTAGTGCTGCACCTGCAGTAACTGGACCCTGGGGAGGAGAGGGGGGCAGTCGGCCCGAGGCTGGGAGGAGACAGGCAGCCATTGCGGAGGCCGAGATCAGGACCTTGCTGCTCAGCCTGGAGGTGCACCCACCCCACCCCAACTCTCCCCTCCCCAGGAAAGGAAAGGACACCGCGATCCTCTTTCAAAGAGGAAACTCAAGGAGGTAAAGTGGCCCAGGCACGTGACTAGAGCTTGGGAGAGCAGAAACGGGGGCCCTGGGGCACAAGACTCTAGGCGCACAGGCCACGCTGCTGCAGCGGGGTGGCCATGCTTCACGTGGTGGCTGCCTGCCATCTCTTTCTCTGTGAAATAACCTTGGTGTAGGCCAATGTTTCTTAGGTATGACAGCAGAAGTACAGTGAGCTGGGCAGGGTGATGCACACCTGTAATCCGAGCTACTCCAGAGACTGAGGCCCCATCTCAATCAGTAGAAAGCTAGATGGGGTTGTGCATGCCCAGCATCTCCTTTCAGCTACTAAGAGTAAAAAGGATTATAGCCAAGTACCTATGATGGATCACAGCTGTAATCCTAACTACTCAAGAGGCTGAGATCTGATGATCAAGGTTCAAAGCCAGCCCACATAGTACAGTCCAAGAGACTTTACCTCCCAACATGACACATCCGCAGCCGGTCAATCCCCTCCTCTCCTTGGTGGCCACAGAGAGCCTGACCCACTAACAGCAATCAGATTGCTAGCTGCCTTTCCTGCTCTTGACCTATCACAGACCACTTCAGCGAACATCACCCCAGGACACAGGCCTAGTGTGATCTTTACAGAAATGTTTACTTTTAGCCTAAATTTTCCCTTCAGGACAGAGAAACAAATACTATAGAAAACTTGACCGGTGCCCAAGCAAGGCGTAAGGAAAAAAACAACAAAGGCCTGAGATGCAATTGCCTGTGAGCAGAGCGGCACTGCTGTCCACTCTTCCTGGACACTCCCTCCCTTCCCCTTCATCCTTCACCTCCCCCCTCCCTCCCGCCCTCCTTCAGCCTCTACTTTTTCTTTCTTATTCTTCCTCCCATCCTATTATTCCCTTGCTCCCTCCTCCCCTCCCTCGCTATGTAGCCCAGACTGCCTTGGCTTCCAGAGTTCCAGGATCTCAAGCATGTGCCTCCAACCTGGCACCACAGCAGAGTTGATAAGACTGGCCTATTATCAGGTCTGTTTACCCAGCAATTACCACATCCAGACCCTGTGCTCAGCCTGTTATATAAACTACTTTATTTACTTCGAGTACCTTCATGAACTAGGCCTGCCCCTCTCCCACCCCGCCTACCTCCGACAGTGCCTCAGCCTCGATCTCCAGGTTCCGGAGGTTGTCCCCTGGGGTGGGGGTGCTGCCGCCATCCCCCCTCTGGCCCACACTCAGTGCCTGCTCCCACTTCTGCAGGGCCTCCTCGAACAGCTCCATGCCTGCACACCAGCGACAGAAGGGAGAGTCAGCGCGATTCCCGTGAACTGTGCGGCCAGGCCCCGGGGCAGTGATGGAAGGACCAGAGCCAGTGGACCGTGTGCGCCCCTATGAGGTGGACACTGCTGATCGGGGAATCTGGGACAGCGGAGGTGCCGAATGCTGGAAGGCCATCCTCCCACCACCCCGGGGCCCACCTTGCACATAGAGGCTCTCGGCACTGCCATCCGTGGCGGGCACAGACTCTTCCATCGCTCGGGCTTCCCACGGTCCCGAGCACGCAGCTGTAGGACTGGAGGAGTTCACCACCACCATCTGGGGGCCAGGCACAAAGACAAGGACAGGGCGTGAGTCCTTCCCGACCCTCTGTGGCCCCTCCTCGGCCTGATCGTAGACACATGGCCTCCCTGCTTGAGTGGGCCAAGTGCTCCCAGAAAGTAGCAAGGCAGACGACACGGGGAGCCACGGCTGGCCTGGGGAGCCCAGACCTGCCCAGCCTCTGCTCCATCAGACAGACAGGAGAGCACGCACCGCCCTGCGCTGCCCCTCACCCGCTCCTGCAGGAGCTCCGGGCTCCCTCAGGCAAGAACCCAGTCTTGCTCACCCTGTGTTCCCAGGCCCCAGAGCTGGGGCTCGCTTCTGGCTGAACAGATTTTTTTTTCCTCTTTCTTTTAAAATTTTGTGCTGGTTCTAAGACTTAAATGCAACATCCAGGTGCCATTCTGTAGTTTTTTCCACTCAAGGCTGGTGCTGTACCACTTGAGCTACATTTCCACCTCTGGCTTTATGCTGGCTAACTGGACATAAGGAGTCTCATGGCTTTTTCTGCCCTTTCTGGTTTTGAACTGTGATCCTCAGATCTCAGTCTCTTGAGGAATCTAGGCCTCCAGCTGCTGAATAGATTTCTAAACACATGAACAAAACAAAGCCACACGGTGGGCCAATAATCGTCTCTTATCTCCAGATGGCAGCATTTGCTAGCTCCATGCATCGGCAGGGAACGGCAGCGGGTAGCAGCACAGAGAAGCACCTTCTCGGGGCCTCAGCTCCTCTCTCTGCACCTGTCCCCACCTCCATCCCTGACCAACTCCCAGTGCCTGTGTGGGACCCCTGGAACAGGGTGTGCTGCCCCCTCTCACCGAGGCCAAGCTGTGGGAGGAGCCTGAGTGCTTGCTGGGCTCGATGGAGGAAATGCCGCTCAGTGTATCGTTGCTCTTGCTGCTGGGGCTCTGGACCCTCCGGCTGGAGTAGCCTGTGAAGGACAGGGTGCGGGTCAGGTGGGTGTGCCCCACCGGGCCCTCCTGCCCATCCTCCTTGACCTAAGCTAGTGCCCTGGAGGAAGGACATGCCCAGGGACGCAGACCCTCCGCATGTCCTGCTCACCCGGCACAGCCACCTGAGCTGAGCAATGACTAATAATCCTCTTTCCAAATCACAGTTGAGTCAGATTTAAATAGATATAGATATCAATATGTCCATATAGGGGTGTGTGTGTGTGTGTGTGTGTGTGTGTGCCACTCCTAGGCTTAAATTTAGGGTGTGGGCATTGTGCCTGAGCATTTTTGTTCAAGGCTAATGCTCTACTACTTTTCTGGTAGTAGACCGGAAATAAGAATCTCATAGACTTTCCTGCCTGGGTTGGCTTTGAGCTGTAATTCTCGGACCTCAGCCTCCTGAGTAGCTAGGATTACAGGCGTGAGCCATCTGCCCACAGTGTACCAAAGAATTTCAAGTGAGGGAAGAAAACAGGTTTCTCCTGACAAGATAGGTGTGACAAGGAGCTGTCACAAGATAACCAGGAGCTACAGGGGTTTTCTAAAACCAGGCTGGCCAGCCACAAACCTTGGTGGCTGCCAGGGCTGGGAGAGGGGAGGCGGGGACTAACAAGGGGACAAGGGCATCAGGGAGTGACTGAATAGGCCCTTCATGTGCGTCAAAGCTTGGAAGTATGCTCTAAAAAGGACAACTCTACAAGCAAATTAATCTTTTTTCTTCTTCTTCTTCTTTTTTGGTGCCATTACAGGGGTTAAACTCAGGGTCTCATGCTCTCACTTGGCTTTTTCCACTCAAGGCTGGTGCTCTACCGCTTAAACCCTGCCTCTAATCTGGCACTTTGCTGGCTGATTGGAGACAGAATCTTAGACCTTTTGCTCAGGCTGGCTTCACATCTCGATCCTCAGATCTCGAGGGTCTGCCTCAGGAGCAGCTAGGATCACAGATATGAGGCACCCATGCCCAGCTCCTTCATTTTTTTCCCCCCTTTTTCTTAGTGTGGAAATGGGAGAGATGGTTTGGTGGAAACACTCTAGTGCCTTCTCTGTTCCTGGGGAGAGCGTTCCCCTCCACACAGGTGCCATGCCTACTACTGAATCATGCCCGCCACCCCATCTCTGCTCTCAAAACCCCCTCAAGTAATGAGAACACCCACAACCAGTACCTAGGCCAGACGTGCTCTCACCCCACCAGGCCCTAACAATGACTTCAGGAAGGGGGCTCTACCGTCACCCCAATTTATGGATGAGGGAAACTCGGCTTGAGACAGGCAGGCAGCTCAGCTGACATCCTCGGGGTGTGGCCGTCCGGCACTTCCCACCTACCTTTCTTCACTGACGGGACCTTGCGGGCCATGAGGACGGGCAGGGGCACCGTGCCCAGCTGCTGGCCCCCCACCTCAGGGCCCACCTGCTTCTTCTTCCGCCGGCGCCTCTTCAGCTGGTGGGCAGCCAGAGCCAAGGCCACGGTCCCCAGAGCCGTGGCAAAGAGGACCTTCCGCAGGCCCGGCGTCAAGCGCAGCTGGGAGAATGCAGACTGGGGAAGAGAGAGGAGGCGTGTCACACAGCCCAGGGAAACTCCCAGGGGCAGGACACTCGGTGGAGACAGAAGTCGCCAGCACTGGAAAGGGACCAGACCTGCCTCTCTGAGACAGGACCACAGAGGTATAACACAGCACAAAGCCAGTGCACACACAGGCATGCACAGGCACGCACAGGCACCTGCTACAGAAGGCAATGCTTTGGAATCCCCACCGTTTGCCAACAGAGGAAACTAAGGCTTGTACCTATTAATACAAATGACCATAGCCACGTGCTGGTAGCTCCCACCTGTAATCCTAGCTACTCAGAAGGCTGACGTCTGGGGCTGGGAAGGTGGCTCAGTGGTAGAGTGCTTGCCTTGCATGCCTGAGGCCCTGGGTTCGATTCCTCAGCACCACATAAGCAAAAAGAAAAAAG